TATTACAAGATAACATTAAGAAATGTTTCTTGAGCAGCAAATGAGTATATTAGAATGATTTCTGAAGGATCATGTGACACTGAAGACTGGAGTAATGATGCTGAAAATTCCGCTTTGACGTCACAGGAATAAATGACATTTTAAAAAATATTCAAATTTGACAACAGATAATAGTTTAAAATTCACCAAAATTCTAATTTATTAATTTATCATTATTTAATGTAAAAATAAAGAAGTGATTTAAGTGTTTTATCTCATTAAGCATTGTGTTTTCTTTCAGAGTGACACCTGCTATTGGATCCTACCTCATACCTGAACATTTCCAGCAGAGAAACATGGACCTTATTCAGTCTATTAAGAATTTCCTTCAAAATGATGAAACCAAGTTCAATGAGTTCAAAAACTATTCAGGCCAATTTAGACAGGTACCTATCAAACCAAGATCATTTCAATTATCTTTTTTTATCCAGTGTTATATTATAGTAGTTGATATTACTCCTGCATAATAATATTATTCCATTGATCTCTAATATTTGTCCTGTATTGGATATTAATAAACTCTCTTTCCTTGAGCAGGGTATAATACCTGCTGTCCAGTACTACAAAAGCTGCCAGGAGCTGTTGGGAGAGAATTTCAACAGGGTCTTCAACGAGCTGCTGGTTCTCCTACCAGACACTCGCAAGCAACAGGAGCTTCTCACTGCCCACGGAGACTTTAAGGCTCTTGAGAAACAGCAGCAAGGCTCCAAGGCCAAAAAAAACAAAAAGAAAGCCTGGCAGACAGGCACCACCAGCAACAGCCTGGAGCTGGACTGCCAAGTGTGTCCCACCTGTAAGCAGGTGCTTCTCCAAATCTGTTCCCATGAAGAAACAAACTCATCTACATCTTGGTTGGTGAGTAAATTTAAAGCAAATGTTTTTGTGTGAACTATTCCTTTTAAATGTAGAACTCTCAAAATGTTACAGGGTGTGGCTTTCAGAACAGAATGATCTCATAATGGTGTGTGAGAGTCATTAAAAAGGCACATTACAGGTGATCCACTCATGAAAAACGTCTTTATTTTCATAATGTCTGACAACTGCAGTCTGAAGACATTCTGACTGACAACGACAAATCTTTTGTGTACATCTTTCAATCACAAAATGGGATATATTGCCTGCAGAGACAGTATGCAATATGTATTTTAAAAGAGTCATGGACAAGGTCAAGGCATTTTTACTGATGCAAATTTTGCACTTTGTCCTTCAATGAGGTACAAATACAAAAACTAAAGGCTTTTAATTTCACATCTTTTCATCATCTATAATACTTTTGTAGAGGTGCAAATTTTGATCCAGCAAAACATACCTCAGTGAATCACTCCAAAACTCTCCCATAATACTGGTCCATGAGGCATTTTAACAGGAGTGCAGAGTTAAGTACAGGAAACACAAGACCCTGACCACTTTCACAAACATACTCCATTTACATGTATTGAAGTACAATCACTATCATTTGTGTATGTTGCACTATCTCTGAACACAGAAACATTACCAAAATCTACCACATATCAGACAAAGCACTGATGATGGTCACCAAACAGCTTTTTTTTTTTTAAACAACAGCCAACTGATGAATATCTGAAGGGTATCTCAAACAAATAATTTAGCAAAATACTGGCATATGCACTGCTGTTCAAAAGTTTGAGGTTGGTAAGATTTTTTAAAAGTTTCTTCTGCTCAACAAGGCTGCATTTATTTGATCAAAGATACACTAAAAACAGTAATATTATATAAAAATTTGAAATAACTGTATTTTAATATATTTTAAAATGTTATTCCTGTGATGCAAAGCTGTATTTTCAGCATCATTACTCCAGTCTTCAGTGTCACATGATCTTTCAGAAATCATTATAATATACTGATTTGCTGCTCAAGAAACATTTCTTATTATCAATGTTGAAAACAGCTGTGCTGCTTAATAGTTTTCAGGATTTTCTGGTGAATATAAAGTTCAAAAGAACAGCATTTATCTAAAATGCATCAATCCACCAACATGTTTGTTTAGAACTGTGGAAAGAAATGCAGTATTATGGATAGAGGACTTGTATTTTAGCTGGAAGCAACAGTTTGAAGTTAAACACATCTTTAAACATGCAGCTTTTCGATTCACAAGTCGTTAATTTACAAGTGGAGACCTGTAAATTACTTGTGTATATGATTGTGATGTTTTTCTCAGCTGTTTGGACTCTCATTCTGACGGCACCCATTCACTGCAGAGGATC